AAAGGAGAAGTTGCATTGTTTATGCATAACTCCATATATTGGATTTTCACTCTATTTTTTCAGGTTAGCAATGATGGCTTCACAGAGGTTACTGATTCTTCAGCCGCATAACTGGGCTTTGAGACGAGACTATGGCATGATGCTCTATTATAACAGGTAAAAGTAAAACAAAATTTGAATATTTGGAATTTATTCGGGACTTTTTCAGCTCCTTTTGATCGATACTGAGTTATAAAAACCCTCAAGTTGGATTTTTGTACTACATTTTCTTGAATTTTTCTTTTAGTCCTGCATTTCAATATAAATAAATGAATAAACTTTTTTCTATTTAATTAGCTATTTTATGTGTTTGCTTTGTTGTTGTTTAAATATTCGGACTTTCGACTCAATTTACAGGGAATACGAGGCTTCTGTGCAAGAGCTTAGCATTTGCATGGCCTTTGCACCCGAAGATGAGGCTGAGGTGTTAGAAACTTTTGTCGAGAAACTACACCTTATGAGGCTCGAATCTTCTTGGTCAAAATCTTTGAGGTTGGCTAACAGGTCATTTTGAGTTGATGAGTTATTAGAGCACATTTTTGCTGTCTTAATAGTTAATAATGAGTAATGTATTGTATTGTGTATAGACTTGCCTATGGAGCTTCTTCTTCTTCTTCACCTGTGTAACCTTTCTTGCTTCAAGACATTTGTGTACATATGTACAATTCTGCATGTTCTTGTTCTAGTTTCTTGGTTTAATTCACCAAAGATTGAAAAAACACCAAATCCCCACCAAAAAAAGAAAAGGAAAAATGGCTCATTATATTTCATCAGGTAATCCCNATGAATTGATTTGTTAAAATTAAATCTATCGATTACGGATATATCGTATGTAGAACCATGAATTGATTTGTTAAAATTAATATAGTATATCCTTAAAATTAAGACTTCAATCATAGTTTTTAGAAAAATGAGAAAATACATTAAAAGATGATTGATTGTTAAAAAATATAAAAATTTAAATTGATAATTTCAGATTTTGCGGGTTAAAAATATAAAGTACCTAAATAATTCAGTGAAGGTGGACAATGATGCAAGCAAGCAAACCTCATGGTGGTCCTTTCACTAAGATTTTGGAACTCATAGAAGATAGAGAAATTGTCAGTTTTATGGTCCTAGATGGGTATATTTGGGTCCCAATACATTCATAATATTGCAAAAACGACCATTTGGAGCATATAAAACTATTCAATTTCAATCATTGCCCCTGATTTTCAAATTAATCATTTACATATTTCCCTTTTGGAATAAAATGTTTTCTTGTGGGGTTATAAGTTAGGTCATATGACTCATATCAACGTGCTGCCTACTTTTTCCTATCAAACCTTATCCACTTCATGTCCAAATCTTGTGCTCCATTATTAAAAGGTTGGTTGAACAATCTATGGTGCTAGTGGTGACTAGTGAGAATATGAACTTATTGCAATATTTGTTGTAAACCTATTCTAACAATGATATTTTATTGGGATAAAATTATAGTAGATGGTATCCTAAGTAAGGAAAGTGGATTCTAATCCATTATTAATTTAAATAATGTACCAAAGATGTTTGATGTATGTTTGGAAGTGCTTTTAAATGGACTTTTGACTATAAAAGTCCATTTTTTAAATAAAAAGATGTTTGATGTAACTAGTATTGATACCTGTGCGATGCACGGGGTGTAATACAAAAAATATTTTTTATTTAAATATTATAAAGTTATTTAAGAAAATATAAAATTATATTCTCTACAATATTTTATTCAGTAATAATATGACATTTATTTATTTACTATTATTTTTAATTTCTATTTTTATTTTTTTTTGTAGTTTTTGACTATTTAATATATAAAATTTATTATTTATTAGTTTATAAAATATTATATGTATAAGATCATATGATATTTACATACAAATTACTTGTATTTACTTATAAAATTGTCATTTATCATAGTCTTTTAATTTTTTTAACAATTCATAATTTGTACATTGTTTGATAATTGACCAACGTTTAACCCATAATATTTATCTTCCGTTATAATTATTAAGTTAGTAAATGTTAAAAACTTTGATAAATAGATTTAATTTTAGTAACTTTAATCCTTATGCAACACACAAATTTTTTATGGTTAAATGTTTTATTTTTATGTTTTCATTTTTATTTATATTTATTTATTTAATTCATTTTTTCAATCTATATAAAGAGTTACATAGTATCTACTCGAATATTTAGATATATTATACATTCCCATAATTACAAAATGCCATAATTTAAATAATTATACATTATTTTTTTTATTAACTTACTTTTCATTTATAAAATAGTATATAAAAAAAATATATTTTTAAAAATTGAATAGTTTTTAATGTACATAGATACTTCTAAGGTGAAATTTATAATTCTGAATTGCTCCCGACTATCAAATTTAATTTTTATTAGTATATTATTTAAATTTTCAATTGTATTATCACTGTATATTATATTCTCAATGGAGATGTACCTTTTTATAGTTAAATTGACTACATTTTAGAAATTTTTATTAATATTTTAAATTATTTAGTAAGTTATTATGATTAAACATAGTTATTCTGATTATTTTATTAAATATTTTAAGTACTTTTGAATAGTGAATATAATTAATTAAATTAATACCTATAACCATAGATGATAATATAATGAATGAAATCAATTTCCATAATAATTTTTTGAATTGTGCCAATAAATTACTATTAAATTAATATATGATCTGATTAAAAATATATCTAATAAATCTACTATCAAAATTTCAATTTAAGCCAATTTGCAGTTAATGAGTAATAGCCATTGAGTGTATAAAATTAATTATGTTTTTCATGCATGAGATTTGCTAATAAATAAATATTAACTAAATGCTAAATATAGACGGAAAAATTTCCCGCCCAAAATCATGCTAATTATGACAATAAGGATTGGTCCATTATATAGATATAGATATAGATAACAAAATAGACTTATAAAAAAGTAACTCCAATAAATAGTCAATTTCAAAGACGTTTATATTGAATTCTTATTGAGAAGTCACTTTTAAAAAATTCTATCTTTAAATGGACTTCTCAATACGTATTTCCAAACAAGTCCTTAATCATCGGACCACACATATTTATACACATTTGTATAATCTTGTGTTGATCTGACAATTAAAATTCATGTGTTACAGAGTTTATACATTTTTTTTCGAAACGATAGACCTGTGTTAACTTCACTTGATTCGAAACAAGATGCTAGTATTTAAAATCTTAAAATTTAGAAAAATGATATATAGCCAACCTAGTGTACAACTAGGTTAACAACATAAGTGAAAACATCCACTTGTGTATTTTTTTATGAGTAATGCTACATTGCCAATTTAGTGTACAACTAGGTGTCTTTCACTCGTGTTGTCAACCTAGTTGTACACTAAATTGGCAATATAACATTACTCTTTTTTTATTTTTGTTTTTGTAGATATTTTTTACTTGTGTTGTCAATCTAGTTGTACACTAAGTTGACAAAGTAACATTTATCTAAAATTTATGTAGCAATAAATTGTAAATATTAATTACAGTATTTTTATATATTATCCATAATTATAAATAACTAATGTATTAAAGTTTATAACTAATGTATGAAAAATTTTAATCTTATGAAATATCTTCGTGCATTTTTACCCCTACAAAGATTTTCATTTTTAGGAATAAGATACGTTGAATAATAGTCTTTCAGACCTTTAAAATTTGGTCCAAATATGTNTCGTTCACCTTCGAAGTTCGAACCATCAAAGACCCACAAAACCCCCATCAAATGATTGAAAGCCTACAGAACCTTTGGCAAGAGGTTCGCGACCTAACCGTAGGCCCCCCGCCCCGCGTCGACCGCCTCCCATCGCCGCCGTCCCCCCTCCAGTTCCTCCGCCACTACGTCGCCCCCAACAAGCCCTGCCTCATCTCCGCCGCCGTCCCCGACTGGCCGGCCCTCTCCCTCTGGCCCTCCCCCTCCTACCTCCGCGAAACGCTAGCCTCCACCGCCGTCTCCCTCCACCTCACCCCCACCGGAAAAGCCGACGCCCTCGCCCACATCCCCCGCAACTCCTCCCCCTGCTTCGCCGCCGCCCACGTAGAGAAGCTCCCTTTCCCGGAAGCTCTGGATCTGGTGACGGCGTCGGATTTGGGGGAAACCAAGAGAGTGGCGTACCTCCAGCAGCAGAACGACTGCTTTCGGGCCGAGTACGGGCCACTGGCGGCGGATTGCGAGGATCACGTGCCGTGGGCCAGCGAGGCCCTCGGGTGCCTGCCGGAGGCCGTGAATTTCTGGGTGGGGAACAGATTTTCTGAGACTTCTTTCCATAAGGATCACTATGAGAATCTCTATGTTGTGATCAGTGGGGAAAAGAGGTTTCTTTTGCTACCTCCGACCGATGTTCATAGAATGTATGTTCGAGAATATCCGGCGGCTCAGTATATATATCACCGGGTGCGCTTTCTTTCTTGGGGAGTTTGTAAATCGGATAAATTGCATTTTGTCTGGCAAAATTTTGCAGTTTACCTACTGAATTTGATAAAAAAAAGTTCACCTTTGCGTGCTTAACTTCGATTATTTTGCAATGTAGCTTGTTTAGACTTGAGTTGGGACATGCCCCCTTTTGTACAGGGAATGCAGGGCAACAAATAAATAATATAGATCATGTGGCAGAATATGTGATAGTTAGAATTTAGTTGGAACAATGCAAAAAAGAAGCTATAGCTTGAGGGCCGAGTGCAAGTAGCCTTTTATGAAATGATCACCTTTTCTATACATCATTTTCTTGTGTGAATTTGTACTCTATTTGTGTTTGTGTTCTGTGTAACTTTAGTTGTGTGATTCTGGACAATCTCGAGGAGTTCTGGTTCACTGTTATAGAGTCAGGACATTAGAGTTGAAGACGCTTTTGAAGGTCGAAATTAGAAAATGTAATCTTTTAAAGGTCCTGAGAGTAGGAAACAGTAACACACACCCCTTGTGAAAATAAGAACCGTTTTCATGTATTTTTTGTTTTATTTCCCTATTTAATCTGTGGAGTCCTTGAATTAAAAAGAACTATTGTGACATGCATTGTGGGCACAATGGCACATTTCACGAATTGCTTGGAAGGGTAATTGCAACTTTCAGACGGAATAAAAAATTGAATCGACTCCTAACTTGGATTTGGGATCCTTTCCACTGACTAAAACACTAGCTGAAAAAACCAAGAGTTCATGGATATATAATCCAATGCACTTTCAGGTGTTTATGCATTCGAACAAGCGAAATGGTCTGATGGCACTCATGATGTGAACTCATCTGTATTTATTATAAATTGCATCACAGGACAGTGAGGAGTTTGAATTGGAGCTAGAGGATCCAGTTAGAAAAGTCCCTTGGTGCAGTGTGGATCCATACCCTTCACCTAACGATAAACCGAGTGCAATCGAGAAGTTTCCTCTGTATTTCAATGGACCAAAGCCGTATGAAGTCACTGTCAAGGCCGGAGAAATGCTTTATCTGTGAGATTTTTTTTTTTCTTTTTTCTTCACAATTGTGTTTTTTTTTACCCTTTTTGTTTGGTTTTTGGTGAGATCTGTTCTTACTTTGAAGAATTTGCAGTATCATAATTTTTTTGAACAAAAAGGTATGTCTTTTGAGAAGTACGACATATATTTGCAGGCCCAGCATGTGGTTTCACCATGTTCGACAAAGCCCGGATGACTCAACACTTACTATTGCTATAAACTACTGTCCGTAATCTAACGATTAAACTCATTTTGAGTATTTATTTTCCACTCTAAAATCAAGAAAAATATCTTTCTCTGACCGACTGAATTACTTTGTGGTGGCCTGGCAGGGTATGATATGCAGTTTGATACTAAATACGCGTATTTTAACTTCCTTCAGTCGATCCCTCGTTCGTTATTCGAGAATCGAGAGATGTGTGAAACGGCATCAAGCTCCGAGAAATGTTTGTTCGATGACGAAGATTAGGAAATTGTGAACACAAGAATTTGTTTAACATCTTTTTCTTATTTATTATTACCTTTGCCATGTGAATTTTGAACCTCTAGTTATATAACTCTGAAACTTTGTGTGATTAATTAATTCAACCTAATAAATTATAAAGCAAAAAATATCCTTACATGAATTGAGCTGATTATAAAAGCCTTGCCCCATGTGTATGTATCATACAGACAAATATTGCACTATCAAATCAAATGAAGTGAGCAAATTATTTCTGAAAATTATTGAAAATTCATTGCTTTAACAAGATTTCCGACTTGAGAGCGGTTACGATGGGCACACCTCCCCCCATGCTTTTGCAGGTGATCGAAGATCGAATTTGGAACCACACTCAAGGTGAAAAATCCGATCCAAAAAATTAAATTGATAAAATAGAAAGATTTTAGGATAATTCTTGTGGATTTTAATTACATAGTTAAAGTTTTTTGAGTTCACTCTCGGGCACAAAGAGGCCATGGAAGCCGTCGGGTACCCGTTGAGGCAGCTTAATGGCGGCTATAATGTCGAGTGTTGGTGATTTTGCGTCCATGACCAAGAATGTTGACTCTCTAACGAGCTCGTCGTGCATGTACGTAATTAGGTATCCGTCATCCTCGTCAGCATTCGGATTATTCGGTTCTCGAGGCACAAAAAACGGCTCCCCCCCATTGCAGCCCGGCCCGTACAGACGTCTGGCGACTGTGCAGTCATCCCCGTTGATCGACAGGTCGAGTTTCACTATGCCTTTCCATGATGTCTCGTCTGTTATGGCTGCGTACACGTATCTGCTCGACATCAGTTAAATTTTTTAGATATATAAAAGATGGGGAAAAATACAATATTAGTCGACTAACTTTGGTTTAATTTTTCATTTAACATAACAAAGAGATTGAAATTTTAAAATCAAATTTAGGCTGATTATGGACAGAAAATCTGAAATAAACAAAATGGATTTGTATACATAGGGAATACGATCAAAACAAGAGCTCATTCACTAATTTTATTTTAGACCATATATTGGTAGTTGAAGTCGACGACACCAACAAATATATACTATTTGAAACTTTGTGAAGTAATCATTTTGAAAATACAAGATCATTCGACATTCGGATCTTCAATACATTGGAATAGATTAGTACGGGAAATTCAATTTAATATACACCAAAAATGAAAAGTTGAGAAAATCAATGTAAAATTTGAAACTATTTTACAAAATTAAAACCCAAAAATAATTACGACGCAAAATTAATAAAAACATAAAAAATGTCATACCATGTTGCAACCTAAATGAAAAAAATGGGAATCAACCGAATGGGTGACCAAAATTAATTCTTTTTTTCCTACATAAATAAATCAAAATTGAGTCTAACTTTTTTTTAAGAACATCTCCAATGCTCAAATATTGTTGTTTTAAATTACATTTTACATTAACATATTTAGTAATGTCACAACTTTTCATCTTCTAATGCACTATGTAATCATAAATGTTGTGATGATGTGAACATAATTAATGTCTACATTGTAGAGAAGAATGTGGTTCATCCACATTCTCCTCCACACTCTAGCTAACCAATAAGAGAAGAGAGAAAATTATTCTTACCAATTATAAATTATTTAATTATCTAATTAATTTTCTTACTACATATTATAAATTTTAATAATTTAGTAAGTAGATAATATTTTAGTTACATTACATTGTGCATTGCAGATAATTTTTTAATTTCATAATTGTAAACGTAATATTTTTCTTACATGGTTAACAATTTATTTAATTTATTTACATTTGTCAAAAATTATACCCAACAACATTGATGCTCTAATGAAATCAACTTGTTTTCAAACAACGGCCAAAAAAAAGAAGAAAAAAAGAAGAAGAGGGAATTGGATAATTTTCCTTCAGTTAATAGGTTCACCGAGGCCCACCATCAATATCCAATAGCGGTCATTTATTTCAATTTTAAAACGATACTGAATTTATGACCCATGCACCCAATCGCAAATTTAGACAAAAGTCAAACACTTTTGACTTTCCCAACACACAGTAAATAAAAAATCACCTGTTTTTCCTCGACGCATACGCCGCGTTGATAACCCCCAAATCCATATTCTCCGGCGACAGCACCTCCCTCCCCACCACCCTCCCTCCGGCAACATCAATCGTTATCCTCTCCATCCTCAGCCCCGCCCGCCGGAAGTCCTCCACGAACATCCCCACCTCCGCCGCACTCGTCCCCACCACCACCACCCTCCGCCCTTCCTCCTCCTCCCACGCGTTCACACAATGCATCATATTCAACCCCGGCGCCTCCACCCACGTCATTCCCACGTCATCCTCCGCGTACCTCCCTATTATTCCCACCTTCTCCACCTTCCCCCCGCCGCCGTCTACCCCCAGCGGCGAACTCCCCCGCCACACCTCCGCCACCCTCACAACCATCTTCCCCACCGGAAACACCGCGTAACTCTCCGTCACACCGAAATCGTGCACCGCCACGCAACAATCCCCAACCGAGTTAATCGGCACTCCTTTCCCTTTCCTCCCGAACGAGTCGGTTCGGAAGTACGTCAGAAAAGGTCGGTTCACGTCATACGAGTACGCAAAACCCTCACCCGTCGCCCGGTCCACCTTCGGGTGGGCCGTCATCCTCCGTAACCGCCGGTCTCCGAGGTCAAACTGTTAGAAATATTTTATTTGGACAACATATGTAAAAATTAAATGCGTACATATAGTTGTTATATTATAATTCAATTTAATTAAAGTAATCTACTAAATTCTTAATTTTGAATAAAGAGGGTATCAAATTGTTATGAATTTAAAAATGTAGATACCATTATGAGATTTTCTGTTTGTTAAAGGACTGAATTAAAAATTAATAAATTCTATGTATTTGATTATGACCCACAAACGACGAAAAAGTACGACGCATATGCCCGAATAGATGCTTTCTCCTTTTAAAAGGACCCACGGACTTCAGATACAATATATATACACAAACGATCGTTTGGAAGGCACGAACAGTCCAACAAAGTTAAGAAAATGAGAATTCTCGGCAAGCTCTTTTATTTGATTGAATCTTAATTATTTGACATGACGAATGATTTTAGAATTGAAATTATAATACTATACAACCTGCCCGAGCGTCACCACGTCACCATCCTCCTTGACCCGGATCTCGTACGGTAGGTCGGATTCCGCCAAGGCGAGTAGCCGGCCCCCGAGCAACGCTAGGCTCACATTCGACGTCCCGTGGCCCGCCGGGTCAAACTGGCCCGAAGCGACCCGGGCCATGGCAAGGGCCAGCCGGGCCACGGAGGCCGTGGCCGACCCGTTGAACGAGCTGAGGACGCCTGGGACGAAAGGGTACCGGGCCCGTCGCTCGTACTCGTGCTTTCGGGTTTTGATGTAGCGGCAACAGAAGGAGGCCCGGCGGCCAGCCCGCGAGATTTTGAGCGCGTGGATCATGCCGTCGCCCTCGAAGAAGTGGTGGGGCCGGCCTGGGATGACAAACTGCGGGTTGGGCCCATTTCGGAGGTAGACGCCGTTGAGGGAAGGGGGGAGGGGCCCATAGGTGATGATGTGGCAAGGGGTCGGGGGAAGCTCGTTGACGGGGGCCGAGTGGCCGGTGAGGACGCGGGCCGGGTCGATTGAAGGGGGAAGGGGTTTCGGGTCGAGGTGGGTGCAAACGAGGTCGTCGAGCGCGTTCAGGACACCGGCGAGGAGGGTCTTGGGCGGATTATTGGGATGTTTGATGATGATCTTATTATTGGTACAAGTGGATTTTGCGGTGATGATCTTGGGTTGGCGGGAAAGGGTTTTTTTAGGGTTGGTGATGGTTTTTGATAGTGATGATGATGATGATGATGGGATTAATGAATGGAGACTAGTGGAGGAAGGAATTAGGGTTTCCATTTTTGTGTTGGGGGAATTTGGAAAATTGGCGTTGGGTGTGGTGCGTGTGTGTGTGTTAATTTGTAGCTAAGTCGTCATTGGTCATATATATATATATATATAGAGAGAGAGAGAGTGTTTATGTAAGATGTGATAATTTTGTGTTAAGATTTAATATGCAATTTGTGTATTGGCAATTTGGCATGTATGTATGTACAAGTGGGAAACAATGGAATCAATGTTGAATTAGGTACGTGCAATTAATTTGAGCTGAAAAATCGTCCTAACCGACTACAATTTGAGTTCGAATTTAAAATGTAGTAGAAGCTCAATTGTTATTTCGTTGACTTGAGTACAAGAGTACGATAAGTACAATATCCTTTTAATGTGATTGATAGGACGCATATTTATCTTATTATAACGAGTAATGTGTGGACTCCGTTTTATTTTATATTTTACAGTTCTTGCAGTGGACGGGAACTTTTTATAATTTATCATGTTTGGCATACTGAAATTTTATATAGTGACGTTTATGACTTTGGGTTCATTATTATAATTAGTCATGTTGAATCTCGGCTGTTTTGGTCTTTTAACTATAGTTATCAAACCGTGGTTATTGTCACTGCGGTTGAAAATCGTGTGAAGCATGCTAACCATGGTTGTTGGGAAGCATCGAGCATGGTTGTAAGGGTCTTTTGACCACGTACGGATTCAACGTCAACATTTGTGGTTAACACTACGAGCTAAAAATCAAAACGAGCCGTTTGTGAACTTGCGCGATTCATTTGATAAACAAGTGTAAATGTCTAATGCTCGAATATATAAATTTTTATATAATTTTTTATAGTTAAATTTAAATTCAGATAGAGCTCATTTATTGACTTCTTTTAAAAAATGAGTCGGGCTGAATAGAGACTTAAGTCTGAGTTTAAGTATAAGGAACTCGAGAGCTCTGGTTAGTAATAGTTTTATTTTCCACAACTAAATAGTAACCATGCATGGTTAAGTATGAAATCCAAAATCCGGTATTCAAAAATTGTATTTATAAATTATAATCTAGTTTGTTCATGGCTTCATGTGTAAGAAATTTAACGGGCATACTCATAACTATCAGGCGGAATTGAATAAATCCTAAGCATGTAATTCTATCAGTTCATAGAATATGGATCGTTGCATAAATAAATTGCACATAGAACTTACAAGAATCCAGCTTATAGCCCTTCCTTGTTTTCTTGATCTATGATGTTGATCTGCGATCTCTTCGTCTCGTAATGTCATGGATCTATCTTTCTCATAATTTCCAATGATGGATTCCCCTTTGCCTATGAATTGTTTCTCTCTCCCGCTTCTCTCGTCTTTTCATAAAGCCCTTGATGTTGAGAACTTTATTTCGTATGAGATGGGAGAGAGGGGCATGTAGTATATATAGGAGGAGACCTACAATCCTAATCCTACTAACATTCCCCATGTTCTAACCTAACTTACTGTCCAAGTCAAACATCACAAATTGGACTCTTTAATATTAGAACATTAATAATCCATTAAATACATATTCACCTTAAATAAGTTTGACTATTAATTCAATTAGGTCCAACTAATTATATGGTCCACAATAATAGAATAATATAAAATATTATTACATTCTCCCACTTGGACCATATAGTGTCGAAACCCAAAGAACTACTTTAAGCGCGCACTTTTCATCAAACTTATAATTGAATACATATATCTCTAAATTTAAAATCAAATTAGAAATTAACCGAGTCATGGCGGTCACAAGTCTTCGAGCGACATGATCCCTTCCATGTACCACAAATCATTTCTAATTCAAGTTTACTTTAATATGGGACAAACTATTCGTACCATAACCATAAGTCATCCAACTTTTATGTATATACTATAAAATCAAATATCCATAATGATGATATTGTATGTGAAGAATCAAACATCTTTAATTGAATTCAATAAGTGTCAAAATCATTAATTGAGCAATTTCATTCAGTATCGGTCAGTCCAACAAGGCCCATTCGTTATTCCCAATTTTTTATATGCCTTGCAACGGCTATAAAGAATAACCTTTAAATGGATCCACTTTCATGCAATTAGTACTAGAATGCTCAAATGACACTTTAGTTCTTCACTTCTATTTTTACGATCAAGTATTTCAGTTTTATGTGATTCACACCCTTTGGATACTTGTCATTCCTTGAAATATTATTGCTACGATACTGCGATAATTCTTAGCGGCTTGGACAAGATGTCGACATTTCCAAGTCCTAAGATAAAGCACCGTAGCCCTAAATTTGACTTGTGGCCTCAAAGCATACCACAAACTCAACCCTACACCGTGGAAGTCGCGATGATGGACTTTTGTTCCACCTTTCCATAATTTTGCTCCTTTAGACATTATGAGCAAAAGTCTGAATCCGAGTATCCAATTATAACCAATAATTTGAATATTCTTTAAGTTAGCATGTGTTCTTTAATGCCTTGTAAGTACTTTAAAAATTTCTTTGCAGCATAATCATTTAAAGTCATTTTTATAGTTGTTTAACGTACCAACAACAAATATATTATCAAACCTAGTACAGGTTCGTCTCGCTTAAGACTCCTAATCATTTATATCTAAGGAATTTCATCCATCACTTTTCATTCCATTTCACCTTTCAAACATTTATTTTAGGCTAAATATGTCCCTTTTATGAATTGGAATTATACGGAACAACCATCCATTATCTCTCAAATAAAACTTTTATGGGATAAACTTTTAGTCCTTGTAATCTATTCCAGAATAAATCTATTCCAATTAGCAAGGACGTTTCATCCACATCCTTTATTTCATAACTTTTTAGAGAGAATACTTTACTTCGTGCAACATGTCCACATTATTAGCAACTATAATATGTCATCGACATACGAAACTAAATAACAAATCTACTCCCACTGACCTTAATGTAGATACACCGATCTACGGTATTCTCTACAAAACCATAAGCAGTGATGGTATCATTAAACTTAAGATACCATTGACGAGAGACTTATTTTAGTCCATATATCGATCTATTCAACTTACACACTAATGTTTCATTTCTTGTGATCTAAAAAACTTTTAATTAGTTCATGTAGATCTCCTTCTAAGTTTATCATTTAGAAGGTGATCTTTATGTCCATTTGATAAAGCTCAAAGTCATACAGAGCCACCATTACCATTACAATTCTCAAGGAATCTTTCTTTGAAACGAGACATAATGCTTCCTTGTAGTCAATGCCTTCCTTTTGGGTGTAACCTTTAGAAACAAGTCTAACTTTATATCTTTCGATATTACCTTTAGACTCGTGTTTGGTTTCGAAAAACCCATTTACACATAACTCTTTTAGACCATTCAGGTAATTCTACTTAATCCCAAACTTTATTGTCATCCATTATTCTTTTATGGTATTGATCAACTTTTCAGAATTTACACTTTTCATGGCTTGTGATTCATCAACCATAGGTTGTTCTATAATTTCTTGAGTGTTTGTAACCGATTCATTATCAAGTGAGTTTGGATCATTTTGTTATTCATCCAAGTTACATGACGTTACTGTAACAAAATGAATAAAAACTATTTATGGACTCTCGGGTTTGGACTGTTCAACCCGAGCTTCTTTGACATCCAAACTTTGCAGTTCCAAACTCCCACTAACTTGATCATTTTGAATGAATCGAGCATTGCTGGAATCAACTATTCTCATACTATGGTTAGTCCTGTAAAACTTATATCCTTTAGAACATTTCGGATAGCCAATGAATAACCATTGACTGTCCTAGGAATAAGTTTCTTTTCATGTGGATTATATACTTTTATTTCTGCTTGACACCCCCAAATATGAAGGTGCCTCAAACTAGGTTTCCTACCCGTCCACAGTTCATAAGGTGTCTTAGGAACTACCTTACTAGGAACTCTGTTTATCCAATATGCAGTAATCTTTAATACATGCATCCACATAGAAAACGTTAATGTTGAATTACTCAACCTACCTCTAACCATATTCTTTAAGTATGGTTTATCCTCTCAGCAACACCATTATGTTGAAGAGTCTCAATTATAGTGTATTGCACACAAATATTTCAAATCTCAAGAAACTTTGCAAATGGACTAGGATATTATTCTCTTTTATTGAGCTTACATTAATATTCACCACTCTAATGAGATCTCACAAGTTTTACTTATTTATCTAACTACCTCTCCATCTCATCATTGTATATCTTTAGATAGTTCAATGATTGAGTCTTTTCATGTAGTAGACAAATATAACTATAACATGAGAAATCATTTATAATGGTGATTAAATACTTTACATCACCCCCACAAAGGGACGTTAAATAGACCACAAAAATTAGTGTGAATAAGTTATGAGATTTTAGTGCTTCTTATGACAAAGATCTATTCTTTACCTATGAGATGAGACCTTGTTGGTGTGATCGTTTCCGCTGTCTCTTTAATGTATGCTAGTTTGCTTTTCTTTAATTCATTCTATACATACATCTTGATCACTAAAATCCAAATGAGAAATGGTTTCATTATTCACCATTCTCAAAACTTTTCTTCAGATATGTGACCATAATCTTTAATGCCATAAGAGAGTATAGCATTCATTGTGTGCACTACATTTAAACCAAAAAAAAAAAATAATTATGAGATGCATAAGTAGTTGCACAGAATCAAGCCACCTATTATTGGGAATCTTTAATAAATTTGATTCACAACATACGAAAATTTAATGTATGTCTTTCTTTTCGAATCAAGATTTTATTTTGGGCAATCTTTCCTGAGGTGGCCTAACCTTTTACAGAAATAACACCTCATTTCTTTAATGATTGGACCTATAAAAACTTTAAGTAAGTCAACCTTCTTTTATTTGCCTTCATTTCCCATTTTATCATACTATTATTGGCTCCCACATGAGAATTGACTCTTCTTTCATCTCATTTATTCCCGCCTCTTCCTGCACCAGCATAGCCTTATTTTCCTTACAATCCCATTTATCTTTAATGGTGTTACAGTTCACCTAGGATTGGCCAAACTCGACAGGTAGGGAGTTCATGATGAATAGAACCATAAATGAGTCTATCACATTCATTCTCATGTTTGTAAGTTTAGCTTATATGTTGAACATGTGGGTCACGAGATCATGGATGAAACAGAATCAGTCGAACTTTTATAGTGGTGAGCTCGTTAATGAAACTTTCCACAACAACCTTTTCCGCAATTTTAAATGGAGATAATTCCTTGTTTTTTTATTTAGGAATTATTTTGTATTATTAACCTTAATGTTATCCATCATGATTAATTTCATAAATTCAAACACAACCTATCTGATCGCTCACATAACCTACGTAGAGTTACCTCTACTTTGGAGCTCTCATCAGTAATGGTTGTGGGAACTTCATCAATAATTAGAGTCATATCCAAATTCACTGAACCTAACTGAAATTGGATATGCTTAGATCATTCATTGAAGTTCAGCCAATTGAATACTGTACGGATAACCAAATTTTGAACGCTGCAAACTTTAATACATGCTATTTAATTAAGTTTTGAGATAAAATTAATGGATTCATAAATCTTTTAAATTATATATTTAAATATACCTTTGGGCAAATACTTAAATATATATTATCTTTGATTGATGCCTAGGAGGAAAGATCTTTAATAGAAATTATAGGTATTGTGATTAATTAGTGGTTATCTTTGGACAAACACACTAATTAACCTAACTTTAATATAATTTCTCTTTTATTGTCATATATTACAAACCATGGCCCACCTTTGGGTGTCCTCCTAGTTTATAATTTATAACATCAATTATTCAAATATTATAATATTGTGGTACATTAATAAGACATCGTCTTATATTTGAATAATTGATACTTTTATCTAATTTATTTATCTATTCCATAAATTAAACTAGGCCACTTTGGTGACTAACTAGTTTCTTACATAGATAATATAAGTAGATAATATTTTATTTTAATGATATTTCATCTAATTTAATTATCTATTCCATAAATTAAACTAGGCCACTTTGGTGACTAACTAGTTTCTTTACATAGATAATATAATTAGAAAATATTTTATTTGATCATATTATGAGATATCCATACTTTCATTAATCTTTGCAATTAGCCATACCAAAATACCATTCGAATATAATCTCAGTCTCATAATTAGCTTTTCATGATCAAAGATAGAAGTTCTTCAGTAAATAATTCCAAGAATTCAATTGTGGCCACATTCAGTAAATAATATGATCAATTCGTGGCAGCAAGAATCCATTACAGGGAATTAATATCGTCTTCCAATTGATAGACAAACACCACACCATAAATTAATATTCATTACACATGTAAACACGCAGCATGACATATGATTTCTCAAGTGGGAGAACTACACTTGGTTTGAAACAGAAAATCCATCATCAAGCATTAATTTAATTGCCACGCACAAAACATGTTCTCGGTCTTTAATTCGCCGCAAAAAATAATTGCATCAAACATATTGTAATAAGAATCCATTATCATTAACACTTACAGCAATAAACACTTACATGCGGGAATACTAATAGCATGGTTGAGAATCCATTATCATTAACAATTCACGCTCGGCAATACAAAACATTAATTGACAATTTAATCATATGCATAAACACATGCTCTGATACCACATGTAAGAAATTTAACGGGCATACTCATAACTATCAGGCGAAATTGAATAAACCCTAAGCATGTAATTCTATCAGTTCATAGAATATGGATCGTCGCATAAATTAAATTGCACATAGAACTTACAAGAATCCAGCTTATAGTCCTTCCCTGTTTTCTTGATCTATGATGTTGATCTGCGATCTCTTCGTCTCGTAATGTCATGGATCTATCTTTCTCATAATTTCCAATGATGGATTCCCCTTTGCCTATGAATTGTTTCTCTCTCCCGCTTCTCTCGTCTTTTCATAAAGCCCTTGATGTTGAGAACTTTATTTCGTATGAGATGGGAGAGAGGGGCATGTAGTATATATAGGAGGAGACCTACAGTCCTAATCCTACTAACATTCCTCATGTTCTAACCTAACTTATTGTCCAAGTCAAACATCACAAATTGGACTCTTTAATATTAGAACATTAATAATCCATTAAATACATATTCACCTTAAATAAGTTTAACTATTAATTCAATTAGGTCCAACTAATTATATGGTTCACAATAATAGAATAATATAAAATATTATTACATCATGCACATATATAAGACCAATGAAGCTAATGTTTTCTCTAAAGAAAATTGTAGTGCGTATTCAATGAAATTTTTTAGCATAAAATAATTTTCTATTATATATTTGATATATTTTTACACATATTTTGAAAAAAAATTATGTATTAAAAATTGTATCTATGCACATATGAAAATTAAAACTGTATATTATGTTTTCTCTAGTTTGTTCATGCACATATTACCAATGATATATTTTTGTTTGCGTTCATTGTTGTCATATAGTTTCACCTTAGGCTCACTTTTAGTTCAATTCTAAAAAGTTGAAATATTCACTTTTAGTTTAAATATCTAGTAATCTAATTTTTTATATATGAGTATGCACATGTAAAACGAACAATTGACTTTAAATATACTTATGTATATGACAATGATTCACTTAGAAATATGCCATCATCAATATAAATACTGTGAATCTGATCCACCTATCCATTAAGCTGACTCATACAAAATTTTGCTACGAATATTATGCTTAGCTCAATATTATTATTCTTTATTTTGTACAATAATAAAAATAATATTAATGTGATGACAATTTTTCGAGGTCACGCTCCCTAACAAACGTGCCATGGAAACCGTACGGAACCCTTTGGGGCAGCTTAACGACGGCCACAATATCCAGATTTGCTGACTTGGCATCCATGACCAAAAACCGTGACTCGTCTACAGTCTCGTCATGTACAAACGTCACGAGATACCCATCATCCTCGTCAGCCGTTGGATTATCAGGCTCCTTAGGGACGAAAGACGGTTCGCCACTATAACATCCCGGCCCGTATAGCCGGATTCCGATGACACACTCGCCGGAGTCCAGCGTGGAAAGTGATAGGTCAAGTTTCACAATCCCTGTCATCTTTAGCCCTGATGATTGGGATGCTATTCCTGCATACATATATCTGTACACGTGGAAAATATGATAATTTATTTTAATATTTTTTCTCTAACAAAAAAAAAGTTAATTAATAACAGCGATAGTTTTCCAATGATTAAATAATTTTGTCACATCACTTACCAATATTTTGATGTTCCAAAACTTTTCCAATGAAAATTGTATTTTGTGACATTCATATTTTACCAATCTAACAACGCATAATAATTAGTTGAAATTGAAATATTTTTATCTAGATTTATTATTAGATTGTTAGCATAATTTTTAAACAATAGTTATTTCCATTATAAGTGAATGTACCATAATACTTCCATTATAAGTGAATGTACCATAATTTTTAAACAATAGTAATATATATATTACTAACTCATTTAATCAGAATATACTAAAAACTTAACTATATATGACATTGTAGCATCCAAAATGTGGAGTTGTAACCGGGGGAAAAAAAAGGCAGGGTAAAAAGTAAAAACTCTCCCTTAAAACATGTGTGATTAAGTTACCAAGGCAGGTTAAAAAGTAAAAACCCCTCCCTTAAATAAAAAAAAAGAAAGAAAGATGGCGGCGTACCTCGTCTTCTTCCCCACGCACGCCGGATTGATCGCCGCAAACTCAAGATTCCTAGTTGAAATCGGCCGCCGCCTCACCATCTTCGTCCTCACATCTATCTCCACTCTCTCCATCGACAAGTGCACCAAATTCAGCCCTTCCATCAAGTTCTCCACCCCTAACATGTTCGGCGCCACCATCACCACCACCGTCCCTCCTCCCCCGCCGCCACTCTCCTCCTCCCACGCATTCACCGCATGCATCATATTAAACCCTGGCACCTCCACCCACCACACCCCTCCCTCATCTCCCTCCTCCACCGCCCGTCTCGGCACAAACCCTAGCCTCGGCACCTTCCCCCTATCCACCACCACCGGCTGCCCCCCTCTCACTATCTCCTCCGGCCTTATCACGATTTGCGTGTCCGGAAAAACCGCGTAATTCTCCGTCACCGCGAAATCGTGCACCAGCGACGCGTCCCTCTTCGTCCACACCCCCACCTCCGGCCCCCGCTTCTCCCCGTCCGCCCCAATCGTGAAATACGTCAAGAACGGCCGCCGGATATTATGCCGGAAAGCAAAAACCTCGCCGGATTCCGGGTCGACCTTCGGGTGGGCCGTCATCGACTCCAACGGCTTTCCATACTTTTCCTCTCTTCCAATCGTCACCACATCTCCCTCGTCCGTCACGCTCACCCGATACGGAAGGTCCGACTCCCCGAGCGCAAACAACCCGCCGCCGAACCGCGAAACGCTCGTGTTCGCGTTCCCCGTGCCTCGCCGGAGGTCGTACTGCCCGGAGACTAGACGGCCGGCGGCCACCGCGTACCTTGCCAACGTGGCGGCGAGGCTCGTGTATGCGGAGAAGTAGTTCACGACGACAGGAGAGCCGACCGAACGCTCGACTTCGTGCTTGTACGTGCGGACGAAGCGGCTGGCGAGGGTGGCACGGCCGCCGGAGATCCGGACGCAGTGGAGCATGCCGTCGCCGTCAAAGAGGTGGTGCGGGCCGTGGGGCGGGAATTGCGGGTTCGGGCCGTTGCGGATGTAGGCCCCGTCGAGGGCCCGGGGGAGGGAGCCCTCCGCCACGTGGCAAGGGGTCGGGGGAAGCTCGGGAACCGGGGAAAAGTTTCCGGAGAGGACCAAGTTCGGGTCGATGTTAGGGGGGAGAGTGGGCGGGTCGACGTGCCGGCAAATGAGGTCGTCGAGCGAGGTGAAGAAATCGGAGAGTAGTTTGGATGTCGTTGGACGGATTTTTCTACCAACGTTGATGTTTTGGGGTAATTTTGAATTTTTTACGGTGAAAGATTTATATTTTACAGATAGTCTAACGGTTTGACGGGTATTGATATGGGGATGTAACCAAATTGGGGTTACAAAGGAAGAAAGAGTGTTCATAGTTTTGGTGTTTTATTTGTGAATTTGTGGTTGTGTTGGCTTGAGGTTTGAGAGGAGTTAAAGTGAGGGCTATTAAACACCGTGATGGGATATTTCTTATTATTTTTGTTGCGTGTGAAATGAGTTTGCATGGTGTGTTTCTATTTTTTTTTGTTTTCTCATGTTGTGTAGTTTTGGGATATGGTTTTTAATTAGGATCCCATTTCCAATAAAAATTATATTATATTGGTCCGTGGATACTCACAAGTATCATGAGTTTATATTTATTTATATTAGCTCAATTTCACTCCACTTGACGTGTATCAGCCTTTATTATTTTATTTATATTTTATGCCCAACAACTTTTAATTTGGATCTTCTCATAAATAATAAAAAATGCCCAGCTTTTACTGGAATTTATATATGCAAAATTTGAGATTGATGGTAGCAGTTCACAAGTATTATAAATAAATAGAACAGTTTGATTAGACTGCAACCTTTAAAATTGGAATTTTAGGCTAGTAGCCTTGTATGAAAAGTAATATAGTAGACTGTGATTGGATACAGGATACAGCTGATTTGTTTTGTTAAATTAGTTACGTGAAAAGTACAGATTTTGACCAAAATTACACCAAACTTCAGATTTATACACCCAATTGCACAAATTCAAGGTAATTGACTGAAATTTAGAATATAAAAACATGGAAAACTTGCAACTTGGGGTCCCACTATCTTTTGTCTACTATTACGAACTTCAACTATAATAGTTAACAAATCGAACTTGAAGCGAAAACCAAACTATTCGATCAGTAAAATAATGTGAATATTAGTGGGAAATGCTACGTTCCGTTACGGAAATTCGTTTTCAGAAATTATTTTTAAAAACATATCTATACATTTATATAAATAAATTAGATTTAATACTAACTACAAAAAATATATAAACTGTATATATGTATTAAATATATTTATATTATCTATATAATATATTAAGTTTCACAAATTATTATTAACTAATTTAAAAATATACGACAATCGAATCGAATATACTTTCATATCCAGATTTTGTATCAATTCAGACTAGAAATTACACCAATTCGAAATATTTCACAAATAAAAAAACCCAACTCCCCAAATCTCAATCTCAAAAATAGTGAAGGGGCAAATGTGCGACAAGACAAAAGTCAGGGGACCATAAATCCAAAACTTTCCTTAAAAAAAACCCCTCACAATCTTTTGAGATCACTTTCCCTCACGAAGAGCCCGTGAAAGCCCGTCGGCACTCGGCCCGGCAACTTCACGGCCGCCGTAATTTTGAGCGTGTGGGATTTCGCGTCCATAACCAAGAACTCCGATTCTTTAGTAGCCTCGTCGTGAATGTACGTAATCAAGTAGCTGTCATCCTCGTCATCCGCCGGATTATCGGGTTCTCTCGGCACGAAAAAGGGTTCGCTGCCGCTGCAGCTCGGCCCTATCCAGAAGTGTTCAATTATATTTTTTGCGAAAATAAATTTTTAATCAAAATTATATTAAAACCGATCAATTATAAACCTGCCAATAGAATTATTTTCATTCAAAGCATCTTACATTTGAAATTTGCGCGTCATGTTTGCTCTCGAAATGGCTTGATACATTTTGTAACATATGTACCACATAATCAGTATAGGTGTTCCTTTAGAACCATTTCAGTTCATACACAGCTGTAGCATATCTAAAGGCTAGATATTAGGATATCTATACTTATATAATAAGGGGTACCATTTACGAAATTTAGTAAGTTGAAAAGTCAATGCAATAAATGCATTACTATTTTGAGCAATTATAATATCATATCTATACTTATATAAAAGGAGATTCTATTTACTACATTTATCATCCAGAAAAGTCAACTGCATTAAATATCATTACTCTTTTGGTATTATAATATTTTATTTATTTAATTAATTTATTATTTTTTTTATTTTAAAAGGGTAAGTATAATAAAAAGATTTCAATAATAAAAAAATCAAATACCAAATAAAAATGTACACTTTGACTTATTTGATTATATTTGGTATTTGATTATACAAAATATATTCCTATTTAGTATATACATTAAATACTTACTAAAGTATTTATTTGTTTTATTTGTCAAAGTTAAGTATAGATTTGTTTATATTATCAAATCATAAAAAAATATAATATCCATATTGTAAAAAAAATAAAAAAATCATATAATTTTATAACAATTCTACTACACTATTTAACAATTTTTTTTATTATTATATAATAAAATAATAATTAAATATTATATGGTGAACAACAATAAGTAAAACTGTTACTTTCTCTTATATCAAGGGATAAATTTATATGCTAAAATTAAATTTTTATTAGTATAAATATTTTAGTGAGATAATATATTAATTATTTTACAAGCTAGCCCTAACATACTCATATTTAATGTTTTAAAAGATGTAAAAAAAACTTATAATAACTCTATTGTTTTTTAGACTTAAACGTTGATTAACACCATAGATTGAGAGTCTTTATTTAGTAAAATTTTTAATTGTAATAGAAAAATTAATTTTTGCTATATTTTAGAATTTTTTAAATTCATTATAAAAAGAAAAAAAACTACAGTGAAAAAAGCAATCAGCTATATATCGATTTGTTGTACTCCTCAAATCACATTCACAATTTGGGTATAAGGAAAAGAAACCCATTGATTAAAATATTATTTTGTTAGTAGTCTTAATGTACAAGAGACTTTAAGACTCCACTTGAATATTATAAAACTTTTATTGAACATTGTACAATTTTCTTGCGTATTATAAACTTTTATTGAATATTGAATCTTATAATATAATATTCTCCAAATAAATATATTCCGTGATTCGCACGGGTCACGTACTATATATATCCTGTACATTTTTCTTTATTTATGTATATAATTATAAACCTGGATAAATAACTTTAAAATTGTGCACCCCGTGCATCGCACGGGCTCTGTAGTAGTTTGCCCAATAACTAAGGCGAAAACCTTGTCCACCAGCATAAAATAAAAAATAAAACTTTCCGCCAGCATTCTACTGTTCATTCATTATCCATAACTGTCCCTTAATTACTTTGTTAATGAAAAGATTTGACGATATAAAGAAATTGAAGAATTATGAGTCTAATCGTGACACGTTTAGCTAGAGGTATACACGAATTGAAAAACTGTAAGGAGAGACGCTTGACCGGTTAGATAGTTAATACTTAATAGTCCACAGCTGATACCGAATATAGCTAATAGCTTGTAATAGTTCTGTTGAATAGAGAAATATATTAGTGGTATGTAATTAATTAGTGTTTGATAAATAGGGATTGGATGGCTGTATGAAACCTTATGTTAGAATTATCAATATTTTGCTTTCATAACGCTAATTAAACTAGTTTTCGACCAAATTAACAAGTTAATCAATAGATTTGACAAGTCAAGCTTCTAAATGAAGGTGAATCCGGTATATGTGCTTTAGAAATAAATATGTGTACTTTCATATTGACATATCATACTTTAAAAAACTATATAATTAAAAGTATGATATTTTATAATATAAATAAATATTTTTACTAAAATAAATATGATGGATGGACCCAACCATACTAGTTTGTTTTAAAGCCCAACTTAGGAATGGGCTTTCCATTTTCTTTGATAAGTAAGCCCATTTCTGAAATAGCTAGAATGCTTATATTGAGCATAACACCTGATCTGACAATGATTTCTTTTGATCACAAGTGTACTCATTTGGATTTTAGCACATTGAAGAAGTTTGATAAGTTAAATTCGTTCTTGATTAGCTTTTCGATTCAAAACATTAATTTTAGAAAAGTTCAATATACGAGCATTATTAGGAAGAGATGAAAAAATAACTCTACAACATAACATTTTCAAAATAATAACAAAAACCACCATATAGCAAACACTCATATTTAAAAAATCATTAGTCAAATAAATAAATACAATCCGCTCTCCGCTACTATTAATTATTGATACAATGAGTTGGAGTTATCTACTCTCAACTCTTTTATATTTATAGTAATTCGATAAAAATATTGTTTTGACAAATAAATTTAATTTACACGCGTTATATTCTATATGTAACGAGACACACACACACACAGTACATAAAAAATAACTAAACATAAAAATATAATTTAATTATTATAATTTAACTTTTCTGAGATCATTCTCAGGCACGAAGACGCCGTGGAAGCCATTGGGAACGCGTTGCGGCAGCCTGACGGCGGCGACTATGTCGAGCGTCGGCGATTTCGCGTCCATCACCAAAAATTTAGATTCCTTAATATTCTCATCATGCATATACGTCACTAAATACCCGTCATCCTCCTCGGCCGCCGGGTTATCGAGCTCCCTCGCCACGAAAAACGGTTCGCTTCCATAGCAGCCCGGCCCGTATTGCCGGCTGGCCACCGTGCAGTCTATGCACCCCTCGTCGGCCATGAGCGACAGGTCGAGCTTCACCACCCCGACCACGGCCTTCGACCCGATTTCCCCGGCGTATACGTATCTGAAAAATGATTCGGATGTTTTCAATTATAATAAATTTGGATATCTTCTCACTCTAATAATAATGTTGAAATATCACTTGTGAGTTGTCCCACATTGATTCTATAGGTTAAATGAGCTTAGTTTATAAGTCTAGTGGACCAATTGGTTTCAATTGATTTTGGGATGGAACCTCTGCACTCTCTTCCCCCATTCTATAAATTTAATAAATAATGCTAGTTTTAATGAAATAAATTTGGATATCTCAGCACTTTTGATTAAATTTCACCTGTTCTTCTTGGATCCGTAAGCTGGATTGACGACTGCGAGGTCGAGAAACCGAGTCGACAGGGCGCGCCTTGTCACTCGGCCCGTCTCGACGTCCACCGTCACCTTCTCGAGCATAAGCCCGGCCCGCGCAATGTCGTCTAAGAAGTGCTCGACCCGCGTGATGTTCGTGGCCACCATCTCGACCAACGTCCCCCGGCCACCTTCCTCCTCCTCCTCCCACGCGTTCGCGAAATGGAGCGGGTTGAAACCCGGCGAGTCGACCCACACCATGTCCCGGTCGTCCTCTGCGCATTTCTCGATGATCCCTAGTCGAGGCGCCTTTCCCAGGACAACCCTAACTGGCGGCCGGCCTCCGAGAACCCACCAAGGGTTGACTGCGATTTGCGTCTCGGCGAGTACCGCGCGGGACCCGGTGAGCGCAAAATCGTGCGCGATCGTGCAGCCACGTGCGGACCCTATCGGCACACCCTTCCGTTTCTTCAACCCGCCTTCTATTCGGTAGAACGTGAGGAACGGGCGCTTGAAGTCGTACCCATACGCGAACACGTCGCCCGTCTCCCGATCCACCTTCGGGTGGGCCGTCATATTCCGGAACTGCTTGTCGACTTTGTTTCCGAAATTGCATCGGCCGAGGGTTTTCACGTCCCCGTCCTCCGTGACTCCGACCTCGTACGGGAGGTCGGACTCGCACATGGCGAAGAGGCGGCCACCCAAGAGGGCCACGTTCGTGTTGGCCGGCCCGAACCCGTGGTTCTCCGGGTCAAACTGGCCCGTGAGAACCCGGGCGGCCAGCACGGACAGGTGGGCTGCGGCAGCCGGCAGTCTGCTGCGGCAGAGCCCGAAGAAGTTGGGGATGATGGGCCGACCGGCCCGAAGCTCGACGCCGTGCTTGTGTGTGCGGACGTAGCGGCTGCAGAAGGTGGCCCCGCCGGCCGAGATACGGGTCGAGTGGAGCATCCCGTCGCCGTCGAAGACGTAGTAAGGGCTCGTGGGGAAGAATTGAGGGTTTGGGCCGGTGCGGATGTAGAGCCCGTCGAGGCATGGGGGGAGGGGCCCACCGATGACCGTGGGACATGGGGTGGGCGGGAGCTCGTCCACGGGAGCGTTGTTCTCGGAAAGGACGAGGGTCGGGTCGATGGAAGGGGAGATTTGTCGGTCGAGGAACTTGGATATGTAGTCGTCGAGGGTGTCGAGGAGGGTTGGTTTCTTGAGGTTGTGCTTCTTCATTGGCTCAATAAGGGTTGTGGTGAATTGGAAGATTGATGATAATTGGATGATGAATGCTTGATGATGATGATGATGATGATGATTCTTGGTTTTCATCTTCATGTGACTACTATTGAGAATCTTGGATTTTGGTGTGAAATTGGAGCAAGGAATAGATAAGGTTCCCATTCTTTTTGCTAATTCAAATGAGGGAGGTTTTCTTTTTTATTTTATTTGTTAAGTAGGCAAATTGCGGGTATTTATGGATTTTTTAAATGGTGCATTTCAACTTATTTGACATGAGTACACTATTCGTGAGTGTTGATCAGACGATAAAAAAACCTGCTGACTGAAGTGCAACCATCATCATCATCAGGGCCATTGATTGAAATTTCTATCATGCGCAGCCCCACTCAGTCTTTTCCTAAAGTTGCTTTTTGCATTGAGACAAATAATTTTTGTTTGCATGAACGTGGATTTCGTTCTAAACGTGGTAGGGATAGGAAAATTGGGGAATATGATCACCCAGAATTTTAGTGGGATTTACTATTATTTTGATTTGTTTTGTGTTCGCTTTCGTTTGAGTTATTTTGTTCTCTATAAAGATGACCAGAATATATTTTCTTTTTTTTTTTTCGGATTTATTTTTTCGGACAAGAATATATTTTCTACTAAGACATTTATTAAGGAAACAAAAGCCTTTTAAAAGAAGCTATTCAAGAACAAATGAACCGGTTTATACTTTAGGAACAAGCATAAGGAAATTGCTCAGTCCTAGCTTAAAAACGAAATCAAGATTTCTGAGTCAAACTATGAAAAGGGTCTGTTTTGCTATCAAAGAAAAAAAAAATATCCCGAAATCAAGCGTTTGGGATTCAAACTATGAAAAGGGTATGTTTTGCTATTGAAAAAGAAAAGAAATTGGGTCCAGTAGGATTTAAACCTATACCAAAGGCTTAGAAATTTGTGAGAAATCTTGGCTTTCATCATGATCATCTTCATGTGGTTAATCTTAAGTTTAATTTTGTGTGAATTTGGAGCTAATGAAGTTGATAACGTGTATGTGGTTAGTCTTGCGTTTTAATTTTTTTTACTATGGACAAAATTAATGGTTAGAGCCCAATAATCTAGCTAAGTATATGAATGGGACTGTTGTCGGATCGAATAAGATTTTCCAACTTAAAACCCGAATACGAACAAAACTCAAATTCTTACAGAAATGGCAAAAGCTCTGAAAACACGACACCATTTAATAAATCACCAAAAGGGCCTATCATTGATTAAGAAATACCTCAAGATAATAAAATATATTTTTTTTTGGAACATCAAGATAATAAAATATTAAATGCATGTGTTTTTAAACTTTAGAAAGTATCTCAAGATAAAATAGTGAATGCATGTGTACATCTTGTCCTTACAACCAAAAACTTTATTAACATTCTTAATGTTGATTACGACAACAAACGCAGCGGACAAAAATACCCCTCCAACAAATATGACAAGTACTATTCCAAACGAAAAATAAGTCAATTCAAATAAATAAAAGACGAGAAATAAAAAGAACACAAAAATTGATAACGAAGTTCGACAAATATTGCTACACATCTTTGGTATACATCCGATATGAGACAAACAATTAATAAAAAAAACTAACAATTCTCCATCTTGACTAATTTTGCTTCCACTTCGTCTCTTCAATCCAAATCAACTGTTGGCGATGCCTCCAAATGCGCCTCTCGGCGCCAACTCAAATATGTAGAATGTTAGTCAAGTTCAAACAATGTTCAAACTTGACTGTTGTCACTACCTTGGTCATCATATGTGCATGATTCTCCGTCGTCTTGATCTTCTTCAACACAACAGTTCCATCTTCTAGAATCTCCCGCACAAAGTGTTAGCGAACATCAATATGCTTCGTTCTTGCATGAAATACTTGATTTTTCACTAAGTGAATAACGCTCTGACTGTCATAATGCACTAAGACGTGCTTTTGACCAACTTTCAAGTCTTCAAGCAAACTTTGAAGCTAAATAGTCTCCTTCACAGCTTCAGTAACTGCCATATATTCTGCCTCTGTTGTAGACAAAGCAACCGTTGACTGTAAAGTAGATTTTCAAGTGATTGGAGCTTTCATAAAAGTGAACAAATATCCATTCGTTGATCTTTCAACAATCTTTCAACAATCAAAATGGGCCATATTTGATACTTCCTTACCATAAAGTAATAATACTTTTACTCTAATATTCATTATCTAATTTGATGGAGAAAAAAAAAAAAGAAAAAAGAAAAGAACAGTACGTTATATTTATTAATTAACGAGCTCGGCTAGAAGACAGCTGGTTTGGTTATTAGTTGATTGGTATTGAATTAGCAGTCTTTTGTTAGGGTATTAATAATCAAGGTCTAATTAGTTTGTTTTACAAAGAGTTATTTCATTAGTTTCTTGGGTATAAGGCGTTCATATTCTCAAACCCTCTGAGCAGTATTGCTTATAATCCATAAAAAAACAAGATATTATCAAACCTAGATTACAATTTACTAATCCAATGAACTATTATAATTAGTTATTCGCTATTTGTTATTAGCTAAACGCTACTTTATAGTTAAGTGCCTAGCTATTAGAGTTCAACTTATATATAAATCAGAAAATATGCTTGTATTAGTTAATTTCATCATGTACTGATTGATGAATGTACTGTGTGTGATGTGTATGGCCCATCAGTCATTGTCTGACTAACATATATTAGCTGTTTATGGCCTATTTTCAATATTTTAGAATAATTTCATGATGAGGAAAATATCGAATTGCCCTTTACAGTTATGTCTCAAGACAGTAGAAGGAAAGGAAAGACCAACTAATTCAAAGAAAAGTAAAGCCCAATAATACAAGATAGATTTAACAGAATGACGGAAACTAAAGCCCAAGTTTCAGACAGTTTCTAACTAAACTAAAGCCCAACTTTAAGATTTAAAAAATAGTACTAAAATTGTTTTCGTTTGTATTTTCGAGTGACATTTTAAAAATTTTTATAATTTGAATATTTTTAATATTTTTATATTGAAGTGGAATCCAAATCTTATGCTTAGAGATGAGATTTGGAGTGGAAATTTGTATATAGTTTTTTTTTTCTTTTGAAATCTCGGCAAATCTTAAGGTGGCGATTAGGTATAAATAGCATCGATTTCAATTTGATTTATTAGTTAAAATGAGTTAATTTTGAATAAAGTTGATTGAGTGAATGATTGATTTAGATTTTGAATTTATAATTAATAATATTTATAATATAATAATTAAAATTCATCTATATATATAATTACTAGCTAATAGAATTTAATAAAACCTATTTAATTTTACCTATGTGGCAATTTAACAATTTTCCCTCCAAAAACCGTTACATTTTGATGTATTTAATCTTTCATTTAATCATTAAATAATTAATATTCATCACTTCAAAATTACAAAAATCATTTTAAACTTTTGATTAATGACAGTTGACCATATAATGTGTTGACCGTATACTGTGATTAGATGTTATTATTGTTGTTACATTTAATTTTTTTTAAAATAAAAAATATATTTAAAATTCTTAAATAAATAATAAATAATTCACAAATAAAAGACGTACCAAAATACACATTACATCTTATCAGATAAACGCAATTTAAAAAAAAATATTCCAATTCTTTTAATTGTAAATTTGGTCTGCAAAAAAGTGAAAGAAAAATAATTAATCATTATATGTACAAACTCACAATAATTTATTTATATCTGTGCAAATGCACAGGTCGAATACTAGTATGATGTAAAAGTAGGAGCACGTTATTGAAAACGACAAGTAGTTAAAAATATGTAATTGGATGAATATTGAATAAAATTTGATGTGATGTGTGAAAAGGATTGAGTGACATTATTTACTTATATTGATAATCTATATATATATAATTACTAGCTCAAAACATTTAATAAAACCTATTTAATTTTACCTATGTGACAATTTAACAATTTTCCCTCCAAAAACCGTTACATTTTGATGTATTCAATATTTCATTCAATCATTAAATAATTAATACTCATCACTTCAAAATTACAAAAATTATTTTAAACTTTTGATTAATGACAGTTGACCATATAATGTGTTGACCGTATAATGTGATTAGATGTTATTATTGTTGTTATATTTAATTTTTTTTTTAAAATAAAAAATATATTTGAAATTCCTAAATGAATAATAAATAATTCACAAATAAAAAACGTACCAAAATATATATTACATCCAATCAGATAAACGCAATTTTAAAAAAAAAAATTCGAACTCTTTTAATTGTAAATTTGGTCTGCAAAAAAGTGAAAGAAAAATAATTAATCATTATATGCATACAGACTCACAATAATTTATTTATATCTGTGCAAATGCACAGATCGAATACTAGTATTCATAAACAATTGAGTTGGATTTTGATGGTCAGTAAAACCGGTTTAAACTTGTAGTCAATCGTGCCCTAAAAAGCACTAACAAATCTGATTCTCAAATACGTGGCTTTTAAAAACTTTTTAAAATTTTAGAGGAATATCTTCAAACTTTTAAAAAGCATAAGAAAATATAACTAAACAAAGTTTCTAAAATCTTTGAAATGCCCCACATACGCTTAAAAAACTTATTACATGTAAATCTTAAAAATTATTTCAATTCAACACTAATATAAAGATATTACAACATGCCATCATACTATTTACTTAAATACATTTTTTTTTTCAAAGCCTTTTGAGGTCTTTCTCAGATACAAAGAGGCCATGGATGCCGTTGGGCACCCTTTGCGGCAGCTTCACGGCGGCCACTAAATCGAGAGTCGGCGACTTTGCATCCATAACCAGAAACTTCGATTCTCGAGTATTTTCGTCGTGTGCGTACGTTATTACGTAACCGTCATCTTCCTCGGCAGTCGGGTTTTCGGGCTGTCTCGGCACGAAAAATGGTTCACCACCGCTGCAGCCCGGCCCGTATAGCCGTCGAGCCACCGTGCAGTCACGGCCAGATTCGTCGGCTAGAGTTAGGTCCAACTTCACCACCCCAACTAAGGCCTTAACCCCAATAATGGCTGCATAAACATATCTGCACATAGAAAAAAAAAATTGAAAATTTGATTATAAGTATAATTTTAGCTTTATAATTAAGTGAAAGAATTGAAAGAGTAGAGCTTGAGCATTTTGAGCTCGTGTTCGATTATGTTCGAGCACTGATCGTGTTAGTTCGTTTATATTTCAAGCAAATAATCTTGTTCAAGTTCGTTCGTATAATTCTTCGTCAAAGTTTGAGTTCATTTGTGTTCAAATAATCTAATATAAAAATAAAAGAAAATCGTTTGATTAACTCGATATTTGTTCGTCTGAACTCGTTCGAGCTCGAGAATAAAAACAAAAATAAAATAAAATATCTTCATAGTTTAAACTTTTAAATATCATACATATAAATATAAAAAAATAAGTTAAAATAATATTAAATTATTGTTCGCGAACATTATCTAAATGCTCATGTAAAAGAGCTCGTTTTCTTTCAATTATTATACGAATCTAATTATTTTCTGTCGGGGCTAGTCGGCTCGATTTACAAATGAACTAGCTTTTGTCGCTCGAGCTCGTTTTGTTATCAAGTCGAGCCAAGGATCAAGCTCGAGCTCCAGTATTTTAGGAGCTCGAGTTCGACCTGACTCGTTTACACATGCAATATGCACAAGTGGGACCTGACCTGTTTTTCTTGCCAGCGTATGCCGGGTTGATGACCGCAAAATCGAGAAACTCGCCGGACAACGCCCGTCTCTCCACCGTCCTCTCCCCGACTCCGATCCTCACCTTCTCCAACGTCATCCTCGGCGAGTCGGCAATCTCCAAGATGCTCTCTGCCGACCCGATGTTCGATGCCACCATCACCACCATGCCACCGGCACCTCCGCCCTCTTCCCAACAGTTGGCGCAGTGAAGCATATTGAACCCCGGCGCTTCGAACCACCGCGTCCCTCCGCCATCCACCGCGTATTTCCCAACGATCCCTAATCGAGGGGTCCTGCCGAAATCTACCCCAACTGGCGGCCCGCCCCTCAAAACCCTGGATGGGTCCACCACGATTCCGCCATCGCAGAAGACGATATAGTTTTCTGTGACGGCGAAATCGTGAATCGCCGTGCACCTACCGACCGAGAAAATCGGGATGCCCTTCCGTTTCCTTCCCTCGAAATCTATCCGAAAAAACGTTAGGAACGGACGGAAGACGTCGTACTCGTAACAGAACGTCTCCCCTGTTTCTCGATCCACCTTCGGGTGGGCCGTCATCCTCGAAAACGCCTCGCTCGAATGAAAATCGTGACGCCCGACCGTAACCAAATCTCCTTCTTCGGTTACCTTCACCTCGTACGGGAGGTCGGATTCGCAAAGCGCGAAAAGGCGGCCGCCTAATAGAGCCACGCTAGTGTTGGCCACGCCGAACCCACGGTTCGCCGGGTCAAATTGGCCCGCCGCCACCCGGGCCAAGACTAAAGTCAAACGGGCCAAGGTTGGTAGGACCCGCCCGTTGAAGCACGCGAAAAAATTTGGAGCAATGGGCCGCCCGATTTCGCGCTCGGTTTCGTATTTATGCGTTCTCACGTAGCGGCTACAGAACGTGGCCTTGCCGCGCGTGATTTTTATCAAGTGAAGCATCCCGTCGCCGTCTAGATAGTGGTACGTGCCGGTCGGGGTGAATTGCGGGTTGGGCCCGTTTCGCACGTACACACCGTCGAGGCAGCGAGGGAGTGAGCCCTCGACAACCGTGCATGCCGTAGGGGGGAGCTCGTCCACGGGGGCGAAATTGTTCGAGAGGACGATTTTCGGGTCGATTGAAGGGTGGAAAGGTAGGTCGATTTTGGAGTTTACGAAGTCGTCGAGCGCGTTGAGGATGCGGTTTGCAAGGGAAGGTCGGTTTTCGTCGGCCTTTGTCTTCTTAATGACGTGTTGTGTGTGGTCAATGGTTTGAGGGGTGATTCTGAGGAGTTTCTTGATGGGATCAATGGTGGTGGTTATTAAGGAAGAGTAGTAGTTGTTGGTTGTGATGATGGGCTTGGCATTTGTGATCTTAAGTGAGGGAAGTTTAAGTTTTGATGGGTGAGTTTTTGTTGCATTGCGAAAGGGGGAGTAGGTTTCCATTTGAGGAGGGCATGAGTTTGAAGATATTTCCACATATATATATATTTATTTAGTAAGTTGGGTGACAGTTGAAAATATTGGTGATTTGATTTGGTCTCCTCCACCCTAACTAATCATGNTTTTGACCAAATCTAACTTGAATTCTTGATCTTGTGTGATCAAGCATTTCGAATTCAGAGTTTTCAAGTGCGAGAGTGTTTGATTTACGAATCTCGTTTCCCTCTACAGATGTATGATTAGCATATCATACACGATCATACACGATCATTATGTGATTGAATGACCACAATATCTTAACATGTGGCTGATGAATGTAGTTTAATGTATACAAGGGATAACTGAAGAGTAGTAACTAAATGTAATTGAAGATAATTTACTCATGACTCCAATAGAAAATTATGTCTGTAATCTTACCTTCTCCAACCAAATCCCAAAACGCAAAAAATGCAGTAAAAAAAGTCCAACCGAACTGCAAACTCAAACTCAAAAAGGTCTAACCAAATTGCAAACTCAAACTCAAAATGGGTTTTTGCCCCTTTCTCTCTCATCACTACCCATATTTGCGTTTTTCCTGTAGCAAACACATTCTTCTTTTTCATCTATCAAATTAGTCCCTCATTTTATTAAATGTCTTTTGAGCTAAATTTATTTTATCCTCTTATTTTTTACAGTAAATAAATTTATGTACGAATTATACAAAATATGAGTCACCCATATGTACGAATTTATTATATGTAAAAAATTAGTTCTACATATATTTTATTAAAATATCATCTTGTGCATTGTAATTTTTAATTTTATTTTGTGTGTTGTAATTTTTAATTTCTCATATTGTGCGTTGTAATTTTTAATTTTATCTTGTGTGTTGTAATTTAATTTTTAATTTTATATTGTGTGTTGTAATTTTTAAATTTTAATTTTTAATGACTATTTATTTCTCCGATTTTATTATGTATATGATTGTAACTTTATAATTAGTTTATCACATAAAGTTTAAATTGAATTAAAAATAATAGTGTGGTTTAATATGTAAAGTTGTAAAATATGTAGGTAGTATTGAAAAATTGTAAAAGTTGATGTAAATGAGAATATTCCGAGAATGTTCTTTTGGGTTTGAGAATGAGTTTTTCGGTTGGAGATGAATTAGTGCAAAATGTGATAGTTATTGCAACATAGGTTTGAGTATGGAGTATTCGGTTGGAGATGGCCTTATAAATTGTTTAATGACTGCAACTCGGATGATCCAAATCACTACAAAAAAAAGGTCATATTCTAACGAAAAATCTTACTGTTATATATTTCAACAGAAATTTCAACGGATATTCCTGTTGATATCAGAATCAGATACCGTGTGACAAAGGACAGATTAAAGATGTCATAAAGGCCAAACCACGAACCAGGTCTTTGACAATGAAATTTGAAATTGGATTGGCACCTCGGAAATACCACCTCGGTTCCCAACGACGTCCAAAGACAAATAGTAACTCCCAAAGGTCATCAGGACAAAACACTAAAACCTCGAGATTGCCACCTCGGTTAAGAGCAGCTTATCAGAGGTCATGGAAGACTAAAATTCTATCGAAAAGCCGACGTCGTGAATAACACCGACTTCAACTCGACAGAAGTGACGCTTGTCACACAGATAGAGGAGCGTCCATGCTCATCATTACCTAAAAATCCTGCCTACGTCATTGCCGCCCCTAAGCCGTCAAATCCTCATTAAATAAAGTTGATTTATCTTGGGAGGTGTGCCAAACATAACTATAAATAGCAGCATTAAAGACAATACGAGGATTCGGTTCCAAGAGAGAAAAACTCATACATTTATTATCTCGGTTTTCTCTGCTACCGACTTTGTGTATTAGAAAAACCGACTTTCCAATTCTGTAACCGACTTCAATATCTTCAATAAAATCATATTTTCTGCAATCTTTACTGTACTTTTTACCTTAATTATGTTGGTTAAATCCGTTTATCAACAATTCCAATGGTATAACTTCCGTTGCAAAGATTCCAACGGAATCCGTTGGAATGAGTTTTTCCATTGGAATTTGGATGAAATTTCATCATTCCAACGGCAATTATTCCATCATTTTTTTACCGTAGGAATTTCTATTGAAATTTTTATTTTTATCTATATTTTAACTGTTGACAAATGTACCGTTGGAATCATCAAAATTCAACGAAAATTCCAATGGATAACTCATTCCAACAAAATAGTTTGTTGGAATTTTCGGTGGAACCCATTGAAAAATTCTAATGGAAATAATAACATTGAAATATCCATTGGAATTGTCGTTGGAATTCTATTAGAATATATTTCTGTTGTAATTTTCCATTGGAGTTTCATCAACATTGTAGTGAATAAAGCTAAATTGGATTTTGGTTTTCTAAGCCAAATGCTATTTGAGCTCTTCTTCAAGACTTCAACGTTCAAGTTGAGATGAATTATTGTTTCATTATTAAAAAACTCAATTATTTAGGGGGTGATTGTTTATCATCTCAACTAAAAAAAACTAATCAAAACTCAAATTTAACTTCACTTTAACCCAACTCCACTATCTCCAATATTATAAAAATAATTAAATAATATCAATCAATCATTCGACCAATCATTCTTACACATCACATCAATTTTAATTCACTATTCATCCACTCACATAATTTTAACTAACAATCACTTCCAATCATTTTTCTCCTACTTTTACATCATATCAACTTTAATTATTTTATTTTAAATATTATTTTAATACATTCACTAACAACTAATCATACTATATTTTTTCAAAATTAACAATAATTAAAAAAAAACCAATTAAAATCTAGTTGAATTTACAAACAATCATCCCCTTAGCTGCCATCAAATCCATCACTGCTGTTGATGATGTGTTAATTTGACAAACATAAAATACATTTTAAGTTCTTTAGGTGAGATTCTGTCCTTGTGTATATTGAACTATAATTTTTCCTTTGTATTCCATATATAATAAAAACCATCTCCAATAGATCTTTTACTAAAACACGTAGCAAACTTTGTCACTAGGAATATAGATGTAGTGTACTCTGGTCAACTGATCTCAGCTGCACAAGATGAGATTTTATATATATATAAATGAATTTTCAAATGATACATATTTCATCATTATTAATTTATATATATATAAATGTAGTGTACTCTGGTCCACTGATCTCAACTTGCACAAGATGAGATTTTATATATATAAATGAATTTTCAATGATACATATTTCATCATTATTAATTAACATATTGACAGGTTGTCACTTGTAAGCAAGGTTCGATCCTGCCACGCCAGTGGGCTTAAACATTTGATTTACACACATTCACACACATATCCATGTTGGTGTGTATGAATAGATAGGGCAGTGCCTCACGTGCAGGTACAAATTTGCCGGCTGAGACAGGTATAATTATTTATTTTAAATTTTTATTCTTTGTCTGGGTGGCTATAATTAAATTAAATAATAACACAACACCACACCACATGACTGGGTTTTTTTCGGCAGAAAATGTTTTGGTCTTGGACAAAATTTCAAAATGCATTAAAATTGGAGGACAAAAAGAAAATATTTTTNCAAAAGAGAAATTTGCACTATGTACTGTATTTATAATTTTTTATTATATAAATGAAACCAAGTCATAAATAACAGCAATTCAACTAAATGAGCCCTTTTAATTTGCAAAACTACCAGATGCCAATAAAATCATTAATTTACATATGTAATCAATTTTTAGATGTAATTAATAGAAAATCTATCAACTTCCCAACTTTACACTTAAATTTTTACTTCTCACTTCCTCTTTCTTCTTCTTCTTCTACAACTTTACGCTTAAATTTTTATCTTCCCCTACAGTTGAAATTTTTATCTGTCGTTTTTTTTATCAGTCAAATACGGGCGACCCACGCTTGGATGAGCGCGGGATCGGCGGATCGATTGATTGACATACCCACCGGGAGTAAGGTGACCTTAATTCCCGACTGGCGACCACCAAATCGAGGAGGCGCGCTTGTCCTCCAACGGCCGGAGATAGCGGTTCACCGACGCTGGCCCTCCAGTTAAGCTTGGGGAAGGCGGCACCAAACCGGCGCTAGGGATTTTTTTACTTTAACTTTTTAATTGGGACTCTTAGTTTAACCTAATTTTTAAACATTTTAGCATATTTCAGTCCAGCACGTTAAACATGACCTATTATGAAAGCAAATATCTGGACACATGAATATTGTCATATTGGTTAAGAGACGACTTCATAGTCCAGGTCTGTTGTCCCCGCTTGTCGGCTCCCAAATGTCGTCGATGTCCCGTTCTACCGTTGGAACTCGAGTGTATATTTTATGTATATTCTACGTATATGTGCGGATTTGTCGTTGGATTGAATTACGAGAAATTCGAATGTATATTTTATGTATATGTGTGTCCTGATCTGTCACTGGATTAAACTACGAGAGTGTATATTTTATATATATGTGTGTCCCAATCTGTTGTTGGCTTGAATTATGAGAAACTCGGAGTGTATATTTTATGTAACTTTTGTGTATATGTGCAAAGATCTTGAGTGTATATTTCTATGGTTTTGGACGTGAATTTGGGGATTTATAATCTGAAGTTGAGGGTGTATATTTTATGAGTTTTTTGGATTTCAATGTTTTTTTTTTTTTTGGTACAATGAACCTTCCGGTTTCCGAATCCCCGAGGGGACCGACTAATCCGGAATCGAGCCGGGTAGGACCACAAGGGCGGCAAAGCTCTACCTCAAGAGTTTTAACACAGCTGCATTCCCAGGGCTCGAACTCGAGACCTCTGGTTAAGCTGGGAGAGACCCCAACCATCTCACCCACGTGCTCTTGGGTGATTTCAATGTTTATTGAATGATAATTAATAGTTTATGATGATATATGAACATAATTTTTTAGTCATGTAAAGAGATTTGATAATATAAACATGTTATAATTTATAAATAAACTAAATATAAGCTTATAAGA